GAGCTCACAGTTAACATCCTAATTTATGCCTAAAATACTCTGGAAAGACAAGAGATAAATAAGAGGCTTGAAATTCTTGTGATAAAATGGAAGGACAAAAAGAAGCTTGCAGGCCGTTGGCATCCATCAAGGAAGGGGAAAGAGCAACAAGCAGCAAGATCAAGCTGGAAATCGGCTCTCTGTGAACCGTGCAGCGCGCTCTGAAGAGTTATGCCCAGCCACAATTGCAGGCTTGTTGAAGATTAATCTAGTTAGTGACCCAAAGGAAAACACAGAAACAATATGATCAGCTCAGCAGTTCTAAAATAATTTTGGTCTCTCTTATGTCATCCTCTTTAAATACCAATTGTTTGTTGCTGGTTCTGTTGCCTATCAGCACTATTATTAAGACCTGCTATTTGCCATTTGCTCTTTCCTGTCCTCTTAGCAATAACTTCCTCTCTTTGCATTTCTTTTACCTAAGAGCTGGACATCTGTCTTCCTCCTCGTTATGACAAACACGCTCAGAGCTCTTCTCCGTTCTCTGTGCTCAGCTGAAAGCCGTGGTATGTTAGCTGGGCTTTTCCTTTTCTCCCATCAGCATCACAAAGCTGCTGCAGCCCTGGGCAGGCCAGATGTGCAGATGGGCTGGGAACAGACAGCTGTGGCTCGGGGGGATTGATGGGAACTGAATTCTGAGAACTGAGATGCTAATAGGAAAACATTAGTTCCCCAAGTGGGTTAAAAAAGTTAATTATTTACCTGGGAAGTGACAAGTGAAATCTCCCTTATTTGTACATCTCAGGTGTTGGTTTTGAATTTGATAAAATGCCAGTAACTACTAGAGGGTGTTCCTTGGGGCAGGCTCTCCTGCTCTGTTAATCAGTGGTGGAAGATCATTGATTTATAAACTGTGTAAGCCAGTTGTGGTTGTAGTTCTCAGAATAAATATTTTGAGGAAATCATTAAAAAGGCATGGCTTACAAAGCAATCGATGCCTTTGCTACTCAAGATGGTAGATTTTCAATGTAAAAAAACCCCCAAAAACATAGTTGAACTCCACCAGTTTTGCAAGATGCTCACTGTTGGTTTGTGGTTTTTTTCCCCTCCTCAACGTTGAATATTCCTTGATGATCATTTGAAAGCGCTTGAAAAGCTTTTGAATTTTGCACTTCATTTTTCAATGTTCAGGGTGACTGTAGTTTAAGCAAGCTTTGCTTTGGAGAAGAATTCAGCCAGAGCTGCCTTGTTTGTGCCTTCACAGGAGGATTGATCTAGAGGTAAAACCTTACTGCTGGAGAAAGAAACGTTTAACATCACACACTGAATCCCAGCCGCTGAAGCGGAGCACGCACGTCACAACTGCGCTCAGCCCTGTGCATACTTGCCTGCCTATAAAAGGCATCTGCGTTGGCTTGTTCAGAATTAGACTGAAACTTTTTCATGCCAATTTTTAGGGACTGCAAAAGTTTCAGGAATAATAATGAGATGCAATTTGAGGCATCTGATTTTTAACTGTTTTATAGAGATAAATTTGAACATCTGCAAGTTGTCATAGTTCTAATTTGGCTTTTCTTGGAAGTGGAGGTGCCAAATAACCACTTGAGCGCAAAGTATCTCAAATTAGACCCCCTGAGCCCCTTGAAATGCTGACGTATTTGTGCACCGTGAGCAGAGACCAGCAGGTACAAGAAGGGAGGATGCCGATGAGCAAGATCTGTGCTAGACCCGAAGTTTTGTAGCGAACGCTGTTTTCCCTGCACTCCGCTCTGCAGCACGACGGAGCGCAGGGCTGATTCAACAACAGGTTTGGGATTTACAGCTCACAGACACGCACAAGACAGAACATCTCCTGATGCCCCGTGGTGGCCAGCTTACATAACGTCGCTTGCGTAACCCCAGCAAGTACGGTCAGGGTCTCTCCCCATGCCAAATTAAGGCTCTCTGGGGTTTTGTGTCACATTCACGCTCTGTTTGAAATTGCGCTTTAGCTCATCACAAATTCCAGTTCCTTCTACACGAAGTCTGTGACCGCAGAGCCAGCGAGGCTACAAGGGTTGTTCCTTCAGCCTTGAGTTCCCATCACCTTGCAGTCAGAGCATCTGTTTGACTTCCAGCCCAATCTGCTGGATTATTTGCAGAAACTTTTCTTCCTCTTAGCAGCCCAGATAGTGCAACCTTGAACCCTCGCCAGGGCGGTGGTCTGTCTTCTGTGGGAGATTGTTTCTTTTCTGGAGAGTCTCAGAGAATCCAGTATAAACTTGGGAGAACCGAGATCTTTGGCAAAGAGGAGGGAGCAGCTGTTAGACACTGGGGAAGAAACTACTTCCCACCCACCCACCCCCACTGAGTTTTCTCTCCAGGGTGAGTAATCTTAATTACCACAGGGTAATTACTAGTGGATGAAATCCAAGCCCCTGCAGGCTGTTTGGTCACCAGTCAGTGACTTCACTTTGGGCTGGGTTTCACTCACTCTCCAGTTCTGTCAAAGACTGAACAGATACCACAAAGAGCAAAAGATAAAGCAGGGGAGGTTGTCTGCTGGGGTTTTTAACTTGCACAGCCCAAAGTTTTAGCAGCATTTGCAAGCAGAGCTAAAAGCCTCAGGATCTTTAAAACTCTCTTGCTGATGGTAGGATTCGTGTTGCCAGAGGGACACCAAGGCTGAGTCCGGAGGGCAGGATTCATCCTACCCCAAAGCAAGTTCCTGAAACGGGACAGACGAGTCACGGCCCAAAAGCGCCCGTTTCTGCCCCTCTGCTGCGACGGGGACGGCTCAGCCCAGCTCTCGGCGCAGGCAGCGCTGGGCATCAGGGGGGAAGTGTCCAAACCTCGTAGTCACTTACGGGAAAGCGCTTCCACAGATGAAAACATCTCCACTCCTTCTCCAGTGGCTCAGGGGCCCCAGGCTGGCGCTGGCACCAGGTTTGGCAGAACCAGCTCCTTTGTTCAGAAAGAAAAGTGCTGGATTCCGAGCTTTTGGGGCTCAGGGCTTTTCTTGTCGGAGGGAGACTGGATCTGCCTGTGAGAAACGACCACGCTGACGATAAATGCTGCCTATGAAATTTTAATGCTTAATAGAGCCTCGCTGGATGAGGCATGCAGTGTAATGATACCACCCATCATGGGGGAGTTAATTGAATCAATGAGGTGAACGGCGGAGCCGTCCGGCATATGCCGAGGGTTTGATCAGCCCAGTCATTACCGCAGGACCCTCGTCACTCACCACGGCGTGATTACAGCGCTGCGCCAGCCAGGGGATTTGGTGGGAAGCGGCCAATGAGGGGCCAAGCTGGCTCCAAATCCAGCTTTTTGCAAAGCCCCAGATAAAACAGACTTCCATTAATAAGGCGAGAAAGGTTAGGACAAGAAGCATTACAGCAAATCTGGAGAGGTAAGGTGATAGTTTTGTCTGAGGCTTGTAGAGCATATGGCCCCAGCTTTGGTACGGGAAACCCTAGAGCTCGCTTAGTCTCTAAACGGGGCATTATTTGCGTGTCTGAAGTAGAGGTTTATTTGCTGTTGTCAAAAAATTAGATAGCTGGAGAGACTTGCTAGTGTAATCGGGAAGGTAAACACAGAGATTTTTCCGTACCTTCATAGCTTGTGTGATCATTCTGGGTGATAAATAATTCTTGGGAGTGAAGCTGTGAAAAATCACTGTAATCTGCCGGCTAGTTTTAGGTTCTGGGTTTTGAAACGGAGATTTGTGGTCAGAAACCATTGAGGAGCTTTCCACTTACGGAGCTGGATTGTTACAGAGGATCCAGTTTTTTGATGACTGCTCTTTCTCGCTGGTCAAATCCAGGTACAGAAGTGGAAACAGAGCAAGTAATTGAACTATTTTAGTTAAAATGGAGAGGTAAAAAAGTAAAGCTTGGTAACGTAAAGCTGATCGTAAGATGCATCTGTCCTTTTTCACCCTAAGCTTGAGATCTATTGCTGTACAAAAATTGTGACGAGCCTTTTAAAGTGTTTATGTCAGTGTAGGCTGAAGCTTTTCCTAGACAGTGGTAATCTCTTCTGCAAACCACCTTACATCAATGTGACATGTCTGCACCTCCGGCCCTGCTGTCCCCTGCTGTTCTTCCCCTCTCCTTCCCATTCCCCACTCCCCCTCCCTGCTAAAAAAAAAAAGTGGCAGCTGTTGGAAAGTATAGCCCATTTGTTTTATGATGCCGCTTTGGGAATATGATCTAGATCCTACATGAGAGAGAGAAAGCAACAGAGCGAAAGAGAGGAGGGGGGAGTTTAGAAGCTCTGGAAAATAACTTGCTTATTTTAAGTCTAGAGTAGAAAGTTAAATCTTTATAGCAAGGTTCAGGAATAAAGCAGAACTGCTACTAAAGGTCCTAGCTTGGGAATCAGGGATTGCTAGCTTAATGTAAGTCATTTTAGAGTTTGTTGGTTGTTTTTGTACAAAATTGAGTGCATTGAAATGCCTGTGATTGTCCTCTAGTGAGAGGTGCCTGTAATGAGGGTATTAAGATCTGAAGACATATACAGTTATGTAGTAACAATGTGATTCTTATTGGGGTTTATTTTTAATTTACTTTAGCACATTAGGTAAAGAGACAAGGTTCTCCATGGAAGGCACTTCTGTTCATTATTCTGACTCCTGATTTCAGTTAGCTACGGGGCACAAAAGACACAAAAGCAGAAGAATATGCTAAAACTGGCGGCAGCCAAAACCATTCATAGTTCTACGCCTTGGGTTTCTGCCAAGCAATTAATGGAAACTCAAACTATTTATTTTTGTTGTCAGGTCAAAAAAAATCCACTCCTCCTGTCAGCTCCTCTTATTCCTAGAGGGAAACTCCTAGAAACATCTAAGAAAAATCCAATTGCTGTTCCATGAAATGGATGTAGTGCAGGTAGGATGCATCTAAAATGTAGTCAGGAGGAAGAGGTGGTGTTTCAGAAAGCTGCTCAGCCCAGCTCTCCGGCCCTTTGGTCAAAATTTTCTTGCTCTCCTGGCTCCCAGAGACACTGACTCCATGTCTGCTTCATTCCCTCCACAGCTATCCATGAAGGAGGTCGGAGACGGGCTGCACGAGCAGATGAACTGCATGATGGGTGCACTGCAGGAGCTGAAACTCCTCCAGGTCCAGACAGCTTTGGAGCAGTTGGACATCTCAGGGAGCCGAAGCACCGTTCCTGGCATTGAGCAGCACGAGTGCTGCCGAAGCAGCAGAGATGTGCCCGGGGCCCGGCAGGACGAGCGGCTGCGTGAGGAGGAGTGCAGCCCCGCGTCCCTCGCGTGTGCCGTGCCGCGGCCAGTGGGTTTGCCCCGTCCCGCTGCACTCCTGGAGGGCAGCCACCTTAGGGACACCCCCTCCTCCGTCAGGAGCCTCTGTGGGGAGGGTGTTTATCACCCAAGAGGGCCTTCCTCCGCACCGATCAGAGCGGAGCACGTCCGCCCAAAGACATTTGAGCCCAGCAGCCAGGGCACGGCTGGGGGGGGGCCGGCATGCAGGGAGGGCCCGGGGGGGG